CAGCTGCAAGCCGTACTCCAGCGGTGCCAGCAGAGCACAGCACCCTCTCCCCAATCCCCTCTGCCCCTCTGCCCCATCCTGCCGCAGAGAGGAGCACAGCCCCAGCGCTGCATGCCCCAGGGCTGCAGAGCTGCTGGTCTGGATAGATGGGCAGAGTCGTCCTGCTCGGAGAAATCCCACGGGCTGCCTCCTCCGGCAGAGACCCAGTCGTCCAAGCAGCACCGCCATGGCTTTGGGAGGGCACTGGGGCTTCAGGGTGGTTACCAGCGCTTGGTTATCTGGGTCCCCAGCGGGGTCCGGGACCGCATTCTTAGGTCTCAGGCTCAGATGTGATGCAGCCATTCCTTGTGCTCCAGGGAAACAGGATCAAAGCTTCCGGGTGCTGCTTTCTCCCCTTTTTCGGCCGCTCCAGGCTGCAGCAAAGTGCCATTGAAGATGGGAGGACTTTCATGTGGGGATTTCTTTTCTTCAGATCTTCAAAGAAATCCAGCAATCAAACAGGTAGTTGTGGAGGCACCTCAAAAAAAAAAAGCCCTACTTTGAAAGCATCACACGCAAAAGAAACATCTAAACTTTGTTGTGTTAATTGTTCTGGCACTCAAAGTTACGACAAAATGTCTTAGAAATGTTGTTGGCTCTGGGCCCACGATGCATCAGACAGACAAAAAAATGCTCAAGCAGAAAACCTGAGGAAAAGAAAACCAACAACAGGAGATTTCTACAGGAAGGAACAGTGATGTGGCTCATGCATGCCCGTCGGGGAGATGACAGCCGGTGGGCTGATAGGAAAACCCCAGAGCACCCAGGGCATCCACCCGCATTTCCTTGAGCCGCTCCGTGCCCCGGGCATCGTTAGGAGCCAGCTGCTAACGAGAGCAGGCTGCGGCCCTGCCACCGTCTCCTTTCCACCGATATGAGAACGGTCCTTTCAAGCGCCAGCGGAGATGCCACCTGCACCCCCGTGCTGCTTTGCAGCCGCTTTCTCAACAGTTATGTGCAAGTGGCTTTTGCTGCAGGCTGTCCCTGGGGGCCTTCTCCACCTGCCCCGCTCCGAGCCCCAATATGGGCTCGGCGTCTCCGGGCTCCCTGGCACAAGCCCGGACAGGAGCGCGGAGCCGGGGTGACTCAGGGCCCCGTCAGCTCCCCGGGCCCAGGGGAGCGCCGCCAGCCCCCCTCCCCAGGAAACCCAGCCCGGCCCGGGCAGGAGCTGCTGGGAGTGGCGGGCGAGGCGC